AGAGCATTGGAATATATGACACAGGGATTCTCAAAAAATCCGAATTTTCCTTGTCCGATGTATGTCAATTTTATCAGTATATCGTTAGTCCAACTGTGCGCGTGTGCAATCAGGAAATAAATCATATGGTAATTATCCAGTTGTCATGGTTGGTGGTAGTGGGTATAGAAATTAGAAGGTAGTGGGTGTGCCCTATATTGTAAAGACCAATTGTTTTTAGTCTACTTTTGCTGCGCTGCGTAGAATATTTCGCAAATAAGTTTTCGTGAGGAGCTTATTATATCAATTCATAGATATTTGTCATGAACTGCGTCTTAAGTGGACATTTAATAACAAAGTTAACAGTTATTTGACGACTTTATTTCAAGCGAATATGATTCGAAGTGCAGGAAATCCAGTTGTCCCTAGGAGGATGATTGTTTTTTTGCCTTATAAATTTTATTACGTGAAAATTTAATTCTGTGAGATCCATGATAGGTCATTTCTACGTAAATTTCCCGGCTCAACTAATTAGGTTCCTCTTCACTATAGTTTTAACGCCAAATAAAAAAATATTTTAAAGACAAACTTCCATCATATACCAAGCGAGCTACCGTCGCTCCTTCATGAAAATGTTCATCCGGTCTCCTTTCAACTGCCCCTGGACCACAATTGTAATCCACATCCTGACGTTCAGATGTTTTCTCAATCCAATTCCCATTCGTAAAAACGCATCAATTGATGTAACGTTGGGGTGCAGAGCCCACAACAAACTTGAGATAATTTATGCGTTCATGTCATACGTCGATTGGTGATAGAGGGGGGTTTTACGGGTGGGACAACACACAGGTGGGAGAGCAATAAGACACATAGATAGGCAAATTTCTGCCAAAAGTCATATCGTTTGCTGCCGATTGGCAAAGAAAGCGAACGCAATAATTAAAAAATAAACAAAAAGCAATTTTCAAGAAATAACAACCGTTAATAAAGTGCCGCTGGGAAGTTTGCATTTGGTCAGAAAGGGAAAGAAATCTCAAACAATGTGAACGCCGAATAATAAGTGGTGCATACAGTCAAACTGAATTTTAGGGTATATTTTTGTAGTTGCCATCTACATGTGGGTCCCACATCCTATCGTTGCCAATCATTATTTCCTTTCACTAACTTTTTCTGGGTTGTCTAATGCCCTTGGAGTTGCAGGTTTTAGTGCCCTCGACTATTCGGTTTCCTGAGGTCCTACCGAACTGCCTGCATCAAATAGATGCCATCATATATTATTAAAACGTGACAAGATAGGTTTTTATAACAATTGATGCACGTAGGACCTTGAATATTGTCGATTGCAGTTGACAATACGTGAGCTCGTGTCCAAGTTGGCAGACCCTTTGACTTAAGCGATCGATGACGAACTGATTCGTAGGTAACTTTTGGGACTGAGTGGCTGTTGGCGTCATATTTACCAGTATTACATTCCAGCCACTCTTGCCTTCATAACTAATTCGCCTACTTATACCCGACTAAGTTTGTCAGCTATGTGGACGTGCCTCATGTTTCACTTATTATCCACGATGATATTATGGCTATGCTGTCAGAATAGATCAGAGGCATGACAATTCTTGCGCCGCTAACTCAGCAGATTAATCGGTGCGCCTAAAACATATAGAACTTTGATAGGAATGCACAGATAAGGCCACCGGCTGAGCGGCTCCTCCGTCTATTTGTAACAAATTTTGATTCGAAAAAGGTCGCATGCATTGCTGTAAACACACTCTACTTACAAAGGGTCCCCATCTGCATAGCCGGGTCAGCCGTTACTCCGAATTTATATAAACTGGGCAACGCACGTCCGGTCGGAAGTGCATTGACATAGTCTGTGTCGGCCTGTAGTAGATATAGCACCTTACTGAGCTAGGCTAACACACAAGCGATATGTTGATGATAGTCGTGGCACAATACCTGCAGAGAGCCTGGCGGCTGCGGACAATTTCACGTTAGAGGGCGCTCGAATTGTGGATAAAGCTATCGATATCTTCAGTGTCGAATAGTAATTTGGCGTTCGCTGGTTGACCTAAGATAACTCTGGTCGATCCGATCGCAAATTGACACAGCCATCTCAAATCGACAGACATTCTGAGAAAATGCTTGGAATTGGCTGTCAAAACCGCCCTATCGGATCACATAGGAAGGAAACTGCTTACATTTTTTGGCTATGGCTGTCAAAAGACAGGCATGTCTGAAGTCTACGGTCATATACACGATGTGACAAGACCAGATTTTGGCGGAAGAGGCATTAGGACACAAGAAAATAGACCAGAAAGAGAAAGGAGCAAGCTCTTAATCAGTGGTGTTCCATACAACTGTGAGTAACTCGACACGGTACTTGATCAGTGCGACATATTTTAGCCAAAAGTGGACTGATTTATACGACTGTCCTCTGCAACATGATAGCGCATACAATCAGGCGGATTAAATCAATCGTAAGACGTAAAACCGTACTACTGCATAGCTGAGACGCCGTTGAGGTAGCCCTGCGCCATGTTTCAAGTGGTCAGGGTTAGGGTTGAGGTTAGGATTAGACTTAGAGTTAAGGTTAGGGTTGTGTTTTAGGTTAAGGTTTGGGTTACCGTTAGGATTAGGAGATGGGAATTAGTAGCCTTCCCGGAATTTAGTGCGGGGTCATCTGTATTACGAATGTTTTTATCCTTGTCACCTACCGGACTAATAAGTAAATTTAGACCGCCACGTATTTCAGACAAAAAGTTCATGTCTGATTTTCAGGCTGTAAGCTTGAAAAGCAAGTGCTTAATGCAAATTTCGAAAGATTTGTATCGTTTGCCAATCCCACATCGACAACTCTGGCTCACATATCTGCCGTTTAGTCTAAATCGAAGTGAATCACTTCAGTAAGGGAAAAAAAGTTTACACAAGAAAACTGGCTACATACCAAAGAAGTACCTGGACATTTAGTGAACTATTTATTACGATTTCTCTTTGAAGAATATCATTTGAAATACAGGTCGCCCCTATACACGAACGGTCCGTTTGTGCTGACTTAAGAGTTTCTGGGGCACAAACGCTGCATTCTTTGTACAACTCCACTCTGTCCTACCCTGAATCACATGTCTTTGGACTCAAGGGACTTGCGACAATTTAAAGTTAGGATTATTACCTGTCTAGCGAAAAACGTCAATATGCATGCACGCGTGGAGGGGGAAGAACACATAATTGGAGCTACTTGTGTTTTAGTCTGAACGACGTCACTATTGCAACGTGCTTTACGCTGGTTTTACTATGCGCATTTTCCGTTTTCAAATACCTGTGCGGGTGCCGGTTGAGGCCGATTTTTTACATGCACGTCTTTTTCTGGTCATGGAACTTTAAGGAGACAGTCATACTACTGTAGCAATGGTCGGTAAACTCTTCCAGTTAAATGAAGTTAGTCTTTGTGACGGCCTCAGGTGAAACAATCTCCTGCCTGTGATTCAGAAATTACAGAATATTCACTGAGAACAGACCATGCAACACCAAAAAATCAGAATAAGTCCAATTAATACACTTTGTTTATCAGTTTGTTTAGAAGAATCTCATGTTTTCTCTTCAGAGTTGAGCAGAAACTTAAAAACATCCAATTTACATGACACTAATTAACTTGAATATTTTAGGAATGAGGCTTTCCTTTCAAGCGTTCCGGTGCCATATACTGAGTACTTAAGGAAACTGTTTGCACCAAAACTTGCTAGTGCCGATATAACTGCACAATATTTCTGGAAAACGTAGTAGAGTCATCGCATCGTATGTTGTGAAACCGTCAACAGCTTGCAGGCTACAACGTCGCGCCTGAATCAAAATAAAAACAAGAAGTATCTTATAAGCACCAAAACAGAGACAAACAAAATAAATCCAAACCGAATTACTCAATTGTCTTAGGTAGGTCGCACAATCACTAAACAAAGGTTACATAAGTTCTTGTACACACAAAAGGTACCGTAGGTTACAATTAGTGAACACACTGAGACGCCGAATTTGTTGGAAAACTGCTTACGTCCTGTTCGAACAGATGTCCGGCGGCGTACAGTAGGCACGGTATAAACGACCGTACATACGCATGTTACAGAACTAAATTCACATAAGGTGCAGCACAGTGGGGCGTTTACCTTTATAAAAACACCGTGTAACACTTACAACTTTGATGGACTATTAAGATGTAGAAAGTTTTATTTTGTGTACGGGGCGCAACTCCAGTTATGTCAAATGAATTGAAGTGGTATTAAAGCAGTGATTAGAAACTCATCGTCTGTCTTCGTCTAACCGATTTGTGGATTTTTAAGCTCTGTGTATTAGTGGAAATCAAAGCAGATCAGCGATGGTTTTGTTTGTCACTAGTCAAGTATTATTAGATTATTTAGGCTTGGATTTAGGCCTAATATACTTATTTGTCAAAAAACGGCTAATACCCTAAAGCGGCAGCTTCCGTAGCAAACTGCAAGTCGTGCTGAAAGACTAGCTGCGCATTTCCACTGAATTGACCCATAGTGAGATTCGAGTTTGTTTTTGTTCATATGTCTTCCAGGTATGAAGACACCATTACGTTGGAAGGCCTCTTAAACTCCCATTTTCTTACATTATAAGCAGCGCCCAATGACTTCAACATCAAGCAAATACTCTTTTTTACAGAAAAAGCAATATCGGTATTTACAAAAAAAGTATAAACACGAGTGAATTACCGGTAAAGTCTAGAAAATCAAAAAGGTCCCGTACTAATAAAAATGGATGAGGCATCCGATATTGGAAATAATTTTTAAGTGCTATCATGCCCACATGCGAAAAAAGGATCGTCTAAACAGAAGTGTGGACGTCATGCGCGCAAGTGGTAAATATGTCATTTGCACTGCTTCTGGTTCGAAGAACGTAGTCTGAGCAGGGGCTGCTTGCGGCGAGAAGGTGGTTAAAAATGTTTGCAAGGCTGATACCGATTGACTGGTATCAGGGCAGTAGGTTAATGAAAACTGAAAAAAATAAAATCATTGATGAAGTCGAATAGCTTCATCTCCCGTCTCGGATGGATCGTAATAACGTGCTTCTCTGAGCTTGGAAGAGTTCATTGCAACACGTACGAGCATAAGCAGCTGAAAGACAAATTAAAAGCTCAAAGTCAAGAGTCGAACTGTAGATGGAAATTTCGGATACCCAAGAAAGTTGCGAAAAGTCAATGTATATTTATTTCAGTAAGTGCAATTTGAAGATAAAATTCAAAAAATCAAAGCAGTGGCTGCAGCCTATTTATTCATTGTCTGACTTCCTACGGAGCCGACTCGCGGGTTTCTTTTCCGGTTGAAATTCACAAGAAATCACTGTTATAAGAAGAGGTGGCACTGAGGGGATACCCTATATTCGCGAAGTTTTATATCCCACTATGACTTAAAGCAATAAAAGTGCAACCTTGTTTAGCAAAGGCATGAAGGGCTGCAGGACAATTGAGTGAGTATTCGTCGCTTTGTATGAATGCATTGGACTGCGTTTACTCCTATTTCTTAGAAAGCCAGCCGAGTTGCTGGCAACAGTTAGCTCTCATTTCCTATAAGCGTTAAAGAGAACGGTCGGAAATCTGAGTATATTATGCCTGCTCTCCGCAAACGTCATGGACTCAGTACACATAAAAACTAGAACGTGGTCTGAAAATAATCAGAAGACTCCAACTTGACCCCTATTGTATTAATATCACGAAATTTAAGCTGCCACTCCTATGTCACACAGTATCTCGACTGATGAAATAAAGCACAGTGTGTCGACAATACCAGACTTACATATCCACTGAGGACGAAGAGAGAACCCACGAACGCCATAGAGGAAAATATCAGTGTGTTTCTTATTCGAAAGTTCAAATTCATGCTTGTGATTGTAAGTGGGTATCCCTTGTTGTCGTAGAGTCCTGAAATGTGAAGAGAATTATAAGTGGGGGCTTTTGCCCGGTCAACGCAAGATGATGCCATACTATTTGAATGTTAACGTCTACTGATATGCAAAAAGTAACCGTAGTAATGTTGGGTGGTGATGCCGCTGAAAATCAGTCTGAACCCACTCATCTAGTAGGTCTGAGGTCGGGTAGCTGGATGCAAGCTCGAACATCGTTGGGGGAAAGCTGCTCAAAATTTTCCTTAGTTGAAATACTTATCACCTCACCCTAATCAACTTGTCACATACTGCGTGAACCTAATTACCTGTCCGCGACACTGTTTTTATCACCCACTATCAATTCTAAGAGTCGGATTAGGACGCTAATTATCGACCTTTTAGCCATTCTCTCGAAAACTCCTCGGACAAGCGCTATGAATGGCGAATAGTTACTGAGCACGTTTGTTGCCTGTCTAATTCCCAACAGAATACTGAGTATAACTCGCCAATTTTTCTGGAGATGATCCAAATCCACAGGTAGGCCAGTAAACTGTAGGTTATCCTTGTCGCATTTGGTTGTTCTGGGTGCACCAGCACCGTTTAAAATGCATGGAGGAGGAAAAAGAACACTAAAGACCGACAAGGTCAGGGAAGTTATTTACACTTTTTTTATGTCACTTTTTTACGCTGGAGAGTCTGTGTTGCTTTTCACGGTTAAGAGTAACCAGGGTGCAGAGATGAAAATTTGCCGATTACCCAAACTATTTCCCTCACTATTTACATTGTTTTCTTTCCTTTACAGATATTCTGGTAATGGCTCGGTGAGCTAAGTCAGTCGAGGTTATACTGTGTTAAAAAATCCCTTACGTGAAAATAACATTAAGAACCCCTCGTGACAGAGTGCATATTTAAAGATTACTAGCAAAATGTGAATGATAGAATTGCGTGTTTTTCTGCCAAGTTGACTGTAAATTTAAGTTGGACAATTATTTTTTTAAAATACCTTACAATGTTGACTGTGAGACCAGCATTAGATCAGGTATCTACCCCTGGGAGGTTTCTTTACTCCTTTTTACTGCCACTCTGCTTACATATTTTCTCCACTCCTGAAATGAGGGCACCTGGACTGTGATGTCATTCATTGACATAGCTTTGTGAAATTGTCCAGGCCGTTAACTAAATTAATTCTCTCGGACATCTTTAAATACTGAATGTTTATGTGACCTGCGAGAGCCGTTGTAGATTTTAACTCAGTTAGTAGTAAGTGCAAATTTCCTGCCACGGCTACCACTTATAACTGGCTAAACAAGTTGAAAAAGGCCAAAAAAAGAACAATATTCGTAAAGACAACACTAATAACTACGTATTTTCGCACCCAAAGCTTACGTCAATTCATTTACGGTAAACAAGCGTATGGCCCCCACAAAAGATTACACCTCCACCTGTTGCTGATAAATCTACATTACGTAACGAAAAGGCGACCTGGAATACTTGCCTGCAAACATTCATTATTAAGTCGCAAAAAGTAATAGACCCCACGTCTTTTCGGAAAAATTTCCCAGATGCAGAGTAAGCTGCATACTTACCGTAGTAGGACAGGTCAATTGAGAGCACTGAGCACTTGAAATACTGCGCAATCAAGTCATGTGGGTTGGGGATTGGACTCGGGCCCCTGTCGAGGGCACGTAGCTGATCCTCTGACGGTGACAACCCTATGGGTTTGATAGGAGAAAGAGGTTGGCCGTAGGGCGGTACTTTCGCCACTAGATCCTGACCTTCAGAGTCCGCGCCTATCTGCCGAGCAACACGGAGGGGACGAGCAGTGACTTCAGTGTCCATGTGAGTCTTTGAGTAAATGCGAGTAGGACCAATATCACGGTAGAGCAGAAGAGACATGCTGGTGACGGGATAGGTGAGCAGGGCGGCCACCAGCGTCCAGAAGATTATGCCGAAAATCAAACAGATGAGGAGCTGAAACAAAAGTCATTCACAGCACGTATGTTATCTAATTAGAAAAGCATGCAATTTTTATAATAAGTGGACTAATAAGACGCATCTGGACGGCTGTCATTTAATCCGAATGGTATGCTAAATCCAGAAGAAATCTTCGTCTCGATACTCACAAAAATACTGAGTTTTGAGAAAAGTCAGCTAGTTGCCGAAGGTCAAAATGACGGAAAGAACTTGAAGCCATTGTGGGGATTCTTTTGATTCATCTGAAAGTGAAAATCACATCACACAAGCGCCGGCCGGCTCAGTTAAACTGACCCACGCTTATACGGGCGCGACGCAATTACTCGCGCGCATACAGCTTCACTTGAAGATCCCATGCCCTCTGACAGGTTGCTACGTCCTAACTGACTTAAGGCCCTGCTATCGGACTCTCCTGTTTTTCTTATATGGGGTGCCATGAGTTTGCGTTCGCTTCGATTGTTATACACCATGTATTATGTCCGATATCAGCTATCTGGATGCCGTTAGTAGGATAGCTGAGCGTTTATTCGGTTTTATGAGTTTGGTATTTGCGTTACATCAAGCCCACTTTTAGTTCGACGGGGATTTCAAGCTGGACTTGAAAGATAGGAACAGCTTCATTTTAAATATAGTGCAATGCTAAAGAGGATGACCAGGGCCTGCATATCTCAAGTCTCTAGATGTAATAATACCTATATATAAGGTTCTGTGTCGTCTACAGCGGGATGCAGTGTACTGACTCTCTCATGGGCACCTCAAACAGCCGCACATTCATATTATGGAGATAAAAAGATCCACTGCGCCCATCTGCCTTGCAGAACCGAACTTAAGTGTATTCCTCCGAAGATTTTTGAGGTCAGTCTTATGCTCCAATTTACAAACGCAGCTAGTTAGACTTTCTATGTGCAATCAGGTAGTTCGACCGTGTCTGACGCAAACTGAGATTTCGCAGTCGGGCAAGGAAGAAAAACTAGCTCATTAAGAGCAAGAGGTTGTTTTGTCTCACCTGCTAGCACGGTGCTGCACCAAATCCGTCCCATGTCCAAATCGGATTTATTTGTAAGCCAGTCTTCATACTCACTTGCACAGTCACAAAAAAGTATACCATAATTCAGTTGCAGTGTGCAGTACACGAGAGCGTGGGTTCCAATACGCAGGGAGTCGCAGTCTTGGGTCTGGTCCCTCCATTCTACCGCCAATGACGGACGCATAATAAATCCCACGCATTTTGCCACTCGAACAGCGCGTTCTCCCAATTAAGACAAACGTACTTGGAGCTACTGCCCCCACGAATCCAAATAAGTACTCGGCCGTACCCTGTACGTGTGTTAGGATTCCAACAAGAAATGTAATTTACCAAATGTATAAGGGGAATAATCAGAGGGTCGTAGTTACTTTAGTCAAGTGCATTCTAGCTAAAGCGAAAACAATCGATTAATTGACGGCAGAAAAACAAACAGTTTGCAAAGGTTAGTGGGAGAACACCTAGCTCATATTCTCCTCTGCATGACCGCAGAGTTTCCACATATCACACTATGGCAATTAGACGAAAGCACATTGAGCGTTCGTTTGCTGTATTGGAGGCAGAAAAGCTGAACTGACAAAAATATAAGTGCTACCTGCGTTTTAGTTAGTTTGACCATAAACGATCAGACGGCAAGGGTACGGTGCGTAAGCCCCTGAGATAACTGTTGTCAATTGTGACTATAACTCCATGACGATGACTATAATGGGCAACCCCAGTCCTAAACCCCTGAGCACTTAAGGAAAATTTGAGCGTAGCTGCAACCTTAGCACAAGGTCTTAAAGGGCTAACCTAAATCCTAATTCTGAACCTCGGCCCTAACCTTAACCGCAAAGAAAGAACATAACTTGGGCCTGACAACCCCAACCCTAGGAATAACCCACGTCCTGATACTAACCCTATCCCCAACCGTGCCCGTAACCATAACCTTGAGCACGATCCGAGCAACTTTAACGTCAGCAACGTCAGTGGAGATCAAATTCCGCGCACCACATGATCCTTTTGTCGATCTTTTGACGCGCAAACCGTTGTGATCCGCAGAATAGCATTACCCGCAAAGACAGGGGAGACTGGAATGGCGATTTATGATTTTTCAGCCGTCGTCAGCCAGCCATATGTATTTACGAGCTGTACAACCCCTGTACAAGTCCCACGACTTTCTGGTTAGAAGTCCAACCCACTGATCACTGAGTCACGGACTCGTTGTCCTATCGGTTGCGATCAGGTGTATACAATAGTAGAGGGGCGCACACAGATCGCGCTACGGAACTCACTCATCCCGTTGTGTCTTGGTGACACCACATCTGCCTAGATAGGATAGTAATTTTTTGAAAAACCACCCAGGAGTTTTCATACCCTACCCTGAGAGATCAAACGTCTGAGTATCACACAGGATATTTGCTGAATTCTCTCTGCTGACATATATTCGGCTAACAACTTGAATCTGCATAAAACCATTCAAAAAAGGAAATAGTAGATTCATATTTGGAATAGCTTTGCGGCGAAGTTTCACTATTTTCTCTATGCAACGTACTAGCTGACAGACTCATGTCCACAGCGTCTGCTGAGAAGAACTTACAGTTGTGTTTAGGCATCGGCCGCAGAATGCCTTCTTCGAACCCTCGAAGCAACGCTTTGCGTTCCAACCGGAGGAGACGGCACATATGATGAAGGCAATTATCGCAAATATTCCGGTAGCTCCAACCACTGCGAAGACGGCGTAGTCGACAAAGGGAAGTCTGAACAAAGAAGACTGGTTTAAAGTCTAGGGTAAAATTTCATGAAGTGTGTATAACTGTGTAGAGAACAGGCTAAAAGCCAAAATGTGTCCGCAGGTGATTGTTTCGAAAATCAACTTTTGGTTGGAACCCCTTAGCATTTAGATGATGTTTAGTCAATCTGAAATACGCAACATTTGCACATCAGAGTCACATGGATTACGTTTCATCTGTTCATGAGAAGGCGATTAAATGCATTCTACAATGGTGCTTACTGCCGCGACTAAGGTACGTGTACGTAGCAAGGTCACGTCAAATCAACAACAAACCATTGCAGAAAACGTAAAAAGCATCATGCCTTCTGACACCTTCTTTCAGCAAAAAAGATTATAAAACATGTCAGATCACGTTTTTACCAACTGCGCAAGCACAACGGGCAGAAAAATATCGGCCAATTAGTGAGCTGAAGAGTTTCAGACAAAGGGCGGAAACTAGAGGATCCCCCGTACGTAAAAGGTCACCCCACACTTTAGTGGGCGTCACAGTAAGCTTGCATACAATTGACGAGCAGAGCACTTCACGCCGGTCAAAGATATGTGTAGAGAGGTATGCAGTGAATTCATTATTACTGATGCAATTGAAGTACCCACTAACATGTGATTTGCCTCTGTCAGGCCGATGAGGCTAGTTCTAGCGTAGATTGCTCCTGCGCCAAAGGCCGCTCCACCGAGGAGGACGAGGATGAGACCTACAAGGGCACTCAACGGAGAACTGCGAAGGCATCGAGCACCCGGGCTTCCGTCTAAAGCAAAAAGGCAAATCTTCAGACGACCTTGACAATTCAAAGAGTAGGAGAGATTGACTGGCCACCGAGCTCCAGAACCTGAAGGCTCCTGTGCACTATCTTGCCTCTGAATTGTCCCTGCTCCCGGCTGCCATCGTGTACACTGCCAGGGCTAAGTGCAGGTGAGTCAGAAGCGCATGAATCACCCATGACCACTTTTGGCTATTAACCCGACAGGGGAGGTGTTGGGCTAGTGGACCGTGAACGGTTTACAGAACCTTTTGGTGTCTGCATCAGTGTCACTAAATCGGCTGCTTAAAACACCGTATCAGCACCGCATCACTACCGATGAATTCCTCTTCGACAGTCGGGAGTAAAATCACGGCTACTTAACTGGGGAACTGGCGAGGCATGAAAGGACCTTTACAAGAAATGTTTTGAAAATATAAATTATGATTGGCAAACAGTTCAAGACGGCGGAAATTGCTCTTAGGGCTGCGACAGACGACAGGGCCGTCCTACCTCTGATATACACAGACAAAGTTTTACAAGGTTCGCGGTTGTCAGGATTAAATTAGTATGAGTTTGAATCACCAGCCTCATGCTTATTTGCATCAACATATTTTCATTAGTGAACGTGCAAATGACGGTTTTTGGCTACTACAGTTTAGCCGACACTGCCATCTTTCCTCAGATGAAATCTTGCAATGCATCGTAAAAGCAATGCAGACAGTGGTTTTGGAACATTAAATTCTATAAGGCCTGTATCAGCAAAAAGTTTTCACTCATAAAATAAACTTATATTACAGGTTGTAACGGCATCGGGTTGACGGTATATGCAGGACAGGATTTAAAAAGAATGTTTCAAGAAGTTTTCTTGTGCACCTCATTAAGAACTTCGAATCGAACACAATGCAAATTATCATGTGAGCAGTTTGATTTAAAATCCCGCACAAGACATTGATTACCAAATATTTTTTAAATACTCACTTCTGCTGGTCCTGGGAGCGACATAAGAGTTGACTAAAACGCAACTGATAAAAGTGCCTAATATGTTATCCAGGTATTGATGATGAATTTGTGGTCGTTGGGAAAATCCTGGATATTTACGTTTCTCATGAATACTTCAAATTACCAGTCACAGTCTCTGCTGAGATCACGTTGCGCAATGCATAGCAAGTCCCTTTAGACAAATTGACTACCACCTGCACCCGAGAAACGTAGCATTAAATGATTTTTGTTCTTATGATGACTTTTCGGTCGCTGTCAGTCGGGGCGTACCAGCAATCATACGGATTTGTTTCCATTTGTTCATTAGGTCAGTCTTAGACTTTGGGAACACAAATTAATCAAATTTGTAAAACATACTAGGACGCTTGGAGTGGTTTAGTATCCGAACCGCATGATTCATGATGATATTTCTGCATAAACATATTTTCAGCATTTAGGAGAATTTTTGGAGAATGACCTGTAAAACTGTGTTTCAGAAATACTCTTGCCGTTGATTTCGGCCAAAATTTGCTGATACTTTGGCGATCATGCTCTAAAATCACAAAACAATTTGTAATGGAGAATGCGACTAGACTGTCAATAGAAGAATCTCAGTCTCCCGAAGTTTCGAGTAAGAAACCATCGTCAAACAAATGGATAAACAAAATAAAAGACCGAAAAGGATCTGCTTGTTTTTATCAAAATGATGATAATACAGTTTCTTACTAATTAAAAATGAAGGTTAGAAGTGGTCTGCGGCGCATTTTATACCAGAAGGAACAATCATCACTGTTACTGACTGGCGAATGAAACTCTGGACTAGCACGCTAGAGTAAGTTTGAGCATTTGGCAAACTGAACGCTGACATGGAGACGCCTGAGAACTGAGAAAATCGTAGGAAGGGTGGTCACCGATTGGGTTACGAGACACGCTCGTCCCATTGCGCTCTGGCTGTCTGATGATGCCCAATAAACCAACAACGGCCATTCCGATCCTTCTGAGAAAATCTCTGCTGCTGGAGATCCCGAGAAAAATATTTAAAGAACAGGCCTGCTCGACAAAGGTGTTTTATGTTTGAGTCTGCAAACATCACATTCGAATTATGTTTTGTTATTGATGTTGGCCGCGAACTTCTATGAGCTGCGTTGTGCAAGCGTTAGTACCGACGCTCTGAACAATAGAGCAACTGTCAGCCGATGACTACACGCAGTCAATTATCGTATAATTTTCTTAATAGGCTTAAAATGTCAGCTATTGAACACGCTAGTTGTATCTTGCATAATGCGAAGGCGACAAAGCATGCAGCATTTACTGACGTCATAAATTTCGAGACCTCTCATTCAGCTGCGTATGGTCATTACATAGTTATATGACAAGGCAACCTGTTCAATCAACGATCGACCTAGAGAGATAAAACGTGATAGGTAATCTGAAACATGGGCCTAGCATGCGGGTGCATATGGCGAGGGGGGGGAGGGGGAGAGGAGTCATCCAAGTATGAAAGTTAGGACTAGAGTGTGAACTTGTCCGGCGTGATTTAGAGTGCAACGCGCGGGCAGCATTCAGTCATGCCGGGGAGGGGGGGTGGGAGCGAAATGAGAGGGTGAACATGGGAACAGGGTTTCGTCCATAACCTATCCTTACCATGGCAGTGCCAGGTTTATCATGTGGTCCAACTGCTTACAGAATTCTGGTTTCCTCTTCCGTACTGTAGCGGCCTCTGCAAAGCGCAAGATACGCTCGGTCGTCGCCCAAAACAGGACCTTGAATGCAACCATTGGGTCCACCATATGGCCCGTGTCCACTAGGTGCTTTGTGTTTGAGCTCTTGGGTACCTTATTTTCCGCCTTAAGCAGCCACTTCGGCATGTGTTCAGCTGACCGAGCTTTGTCGCCTTCGCCTTATTCAAATTTATTCCGGGAAAACACTGTTTCAATCTAGTATCTTGCATGCTCGGCACACCCCCACACTCAACTCGCTGGCAAACGCTGCCTACTTTGTGCAATTTCAGGTATTATTAGCCGACCTCTAATTTAGGAATTCCCTGTAGCCAGGAGATGCACACAACCTAGGCTTACGCAGATTATGCAGGAAAAGACAGAACTCACTCCGGAACCACAGTATTCGTTCACCGTTTTCTAGATTATTACCGAGAGTTCGGGATTAGAAAACACGTTAAGCGAAGAAATAGGTTTCGAAAGTGGTCGAGGTTTGCTCTTAACCCTTCACATGGACAGCCCTTTGTTTCATTCGAGAAGTGCAATCATGTCAGTCAGGGAATTGAATTAGTTGCGCGATTGATTCCACTAAGCAGCGACAATGGCTGCACACTCTTAGAAGTAAACTAAAGGTGTTAACTAATTGCCCAACGCTAACATTATGGGAGGGTTGTTTTGTTGCTAGTCTTTGAGCAACAGGATTTTATTCGTTAAAAATAAAACTGCTTTTGTCTCATACATCAGAAGGCAGAGCTTGGGGTAGATTAGAAGCTGGCCTGTGGCGGATGCGACACACGCGGCTGCACAATGAAAAGTATGAGGTCAGACTGATATAGCTACGACTGGCGTGCAGTAAAGCGCACGGCGCGCGCCTTCCAGTACTACTGCGTGAGTTAGAAACCAGGCTATAAAGAGATGAAGGACTCCATAAACAAATTGCCTTTTAATAGTAGTGAAAATGCGATTCCCATTTGGCATATCAAAAGACGAAGGGGCGTTCACCGGGAGGGGGTTATTTGAGGTACGACGTTTCGAGTGGTTTATTCGTCTACCCATCTTCAGAGACTGGGAAGTCCTGCGCGCAGCTCCCCTTATAATGGCGCCCTTTGTCCAATGCGTGATCCGCCAATGCCGCCTGTGTGGCTGCATCCAACCCGCATGTCACCGTGACCTGAATCGCCCCCGTCGGCCGCGGTCATAACTGACGGCCCCGATTGTCCCGCGCCGTGACTGTCCCCCGCTAAGAAGGTTCGTAAAGTCAGATAGGGGGGAGTCAAATTGATGTGGCGGTTGACAGAGCGGTCGGTGGACATCCAGGCTTCTTGCTCTTGCCTTGCTGTATGATCGCTGCCCCGGCCCACAATCTCAACGCCGTCAAAGTTGAAGATGTGTCCCATTTGCGCGGCATGGGTTGCTACCTCCGACTTTGGGTCCAACCTTCGCGCGGCCAACTTATGCTCGTGCATTCGCGTTTGCAGCCGTCGGCCGGTTTCCCCAACGTAGTTGAAACTTCCGCAGCTGCATTGAAGTCGGTAGACAACGGCCGACATCTCCTGCTTAGGGATCGGATCTTTCGACCGCATCACTTGCCGGCGGATTGTTGAGTCAGACCTGTGGGCAACACCTATTCCGAGTGGCGCGAGTGATGGAGCCACGACTTCGGAGACCCCTTTAATGTACGGAATGCTCCGCCACGAATTTGGCTGACTATGCTCTTCGTTCCGTTTCTTTGGCTGCCTCTGGCTTTGTTCAATGAATGCCCGCGGATAGCCATTGGCTCTGAAAAGTTCTCAGAGGAGCTTTATCTCGTCCCGTTTGGCGGCTGGCGTGCTGCAATGAGTTTCCACCCGTCGGTACAGCGTGCGGACACAGCTTCGTTTGTGTTGTGGCGGGTGGCTGCTGTTGTAGCTGTGAATTTGCAGCGTGTTCGTCGGTTTTCTGTAGACCGACGTCGCTAGTTCGCCATTTGGTTGGCGGCAGACGAGAACATCCAAGAATGGAAGTTTGTCCTCTACTTCCTCTTCCATCGTGAACTGTAGATCGGGCATGATTGAGTTCAGTAATTCCGCATAGTAGTTGGTTTTATCCTGGTCTATGATTACGACGGTGTCATCAGTGTAGCGTGCCCAAAACTTGGGTTTGTACTCCTCGAATAGTCGTCGCTCGAGTTTTTGTAGAACCGCCTCGGCAATGAGCCCGGCGATTGGTGAACCCATTGGAGTGCCCTTGATCTGCTCGTATGTGGTCCCTTCGAAGGTAAAGAATGTCTTGAGGCAGTGCCCCATGAGTTCTATGAGATCCTGAGCTGTGGGCTGGCCATCGCCCCCGTCGTAATTTTGACGTAGCAGGTCACTGAGCTTTTCGACCGCAAGGGCCTGTGGTATGGACGTGAAGAGTGAGACTACGTCAAAAGACACCATCCTTTCATTCGGTTCGATCGTGACTGCCCTTATTTTGTCAGGGAATTGTCCTGCTGAGTGCAACGTTGTTTGTGAGCCTGCAGTTAGGAATCTTAGCCTCTGAAATAGCCAGCTTGCAAGCCTTCTGTGTCTTCCAATATTATATTTTCATCTGCTGATCTGCGTTTCACCAAGTTGCACTTCTACGGTGGGACCGCCAATCTGGTTTATTTCGTTAACTAAAGCGGAAGGCAGACATTCCGACAAGGTGCATACCATTCTACTGCTGATGTATGACAAATGTCGATATCCTCCGCACCTTTTTCACTCTGATGCCCATTGTAATGGCCAGCCATATTTTCATTATTGTCCTGATGGTTAGCCTGCTGCTTTTGGAAATAAAGTAGTATGTTAGCGCTTGCCTCCTTTGACATCGGCCACACCGAAATACATATCTGTCTATGTGTAGTCTCAAAATTTGCTAATACATTTGGTGTCCACATTGGCATTTTGCCACACTTAGTAGAGGTCTCCTTGATTGGTAGTATTCAACTACGTTCTCAGAATTTACAGCTTCGGTCACTTTTTCCGATTTCCTCAGAAAATCAAGCTGTGGTTGTCTTACTTTCGTGCAGCTGGAGCCGCTGGTCTGTATTTTGAGAAAAAAAATAATTGTCCATACTGATTATTAATTCATTTTCATTATTGCATATAAAATTTACCTGCGTATTTTTATTTTTCCCAAATTGGCATATTACTTTACTGGGTTGCCTTATCATATAGATACAAACGCGCATTTCTACTTATGATATTTGACTTTATCTGCATTCATTAGGGTGTAATGTCATACCTCATCTAACGCTTATCTGCATTAAGTTACTTCGCAGTAGATCTTCAAAGCTGTCCTATTTGACGCTTACTGTTATTCAGTCCTGTTGGTCGTTTGTTCTGTTGTTCTTGACCTGCTTCAAATTTGCAAGCGACGGTTTACTCAAATGCCATTTAGTTAATGTCAGTTGCTTTTTATTTTTCTTAGTTAGCGGACTCAATTCCGCCGCTGTCTATGAGGGAAGGAGAAAATTTCAACGGAAATCTACTTAGTTTTTTGTTCTGCTATATTCCCGCGCGCGGTTATGTCCCACCCGTAAAACCGCTATTACCACTATCCCCGTACTACACGGACCTGGGGTTATACAACCTACCGCTACCGTATGGTTTCATTATCTGCTCCATACCGCTATCCAACCGTGCTGCATTTTCTGCTAGAATCCAAGGCGAAGTGTAAATAATGGTTTTAATCATGCAATCGAAATAAGCCAGCAAACACCATTTTGGACTCTTGTTAGAAAACATCACTCAAGTAATCACTCGAAAATAGCATATGTCAATAGCGTTTGCAATCATCGGCCCTTCGCCAACGTGTGTTGTATTATTTATGACATTAGAAGGGCCCCTATGCACACATTGGGAAATAGGATAACCAAATTTTCTTCTCAACGGTTTGTTCATTTCTAATTCTGCGCACTCTGTGGAAACAAAGCTACACTCGGGAACTGAAGCGACGTTGGCTTAATTCTGTGCCTAAAAACGTCCAGTGCTTTCTTGAATTTGACGTCAGCCTCCTTGTAGTGATGCTTACCAGTCGTCTTATTCCATACGGAGGTTCCTGGTCAAGAAAGTAGCAACATGACTTGCGAACGGTTGGTTATCAGCCAGACGGCACGTCTGCTACTGTCAAACCTGTGTACACTGCACTACTTTCTCCCTGCTGCAATAAGGTTTTACTAATAATGGCCGTGTCTATGCTGTTGTTAGAAAGTTTACTTCATACACCAACATTTGATGCTTCGCGTCCCACTTTTTGGGACCTACGCATTAAATTTTTGCCTCAGGTTCTTTGAGTAAACATGAGTTTATAAGTGATGATCCTCATATCGCTTTTTGGTGGAAGTGGGAACCGATACGACCTGGAAGGCATGGGAAGGTATGTGACGTTTATTCCCAGGAGGATCGTGATGTTCTACGGGGCAACAAGACAGCGGCCTTACGAGAGAGGGCGGTTGGCTGGTGTCGGGCAGTTTATGTCAGCTGTCGAGAGCCTGCCGCCTTAAGAGGCAAGTTGATAGTTATCTCCGTGTTCATTACGCAACACCCGGTTGGTGCACCTCAGTAACACGTTAGTAGACGTTTGCTCCACGTGACCTATCATGTGAGACAAAGAATACGCCGATAAATTTATTCGGAACTGCGCATAGC